CCAAAGTTTATAACACACTGACTATAGCAAACTAATAATAGATACTCTCTTTGGCGCGTCGCGTTGTTTATATTTATAGGCATTTGGAGAGGCCTTCTAAAAATTTCAGTTTTACGTAACAATACAAATTTAAGCGTTTACGTAAACACATATATTGTTGAGAATCTGCGGGAGTTTCGCAATACATATCTAACACTATAAGGTATGCATGTTTTTAAATATTAACTTATTCTAAACAACGTTGATATTAAAATAAATATATTATAATAAATTCGTTACAGCACATACACGTCGACGACTGCTACTTGATAATGTATTTAATCCCATAAAAGACTCTAAAAGTCATGATCATATTAACCTAAAATGTAATTGACAATTTCCAAGGTCGTTTCCAATACGAAAATACATTCCTTGCTAATGTGAGACTTTGGTTTCTCATAAAGAATGGTTCTGGGGTTTACTGGAATTAACTTCTTTTGTTTCTTATACACCTAATCAGGTCCACTTTCGTATGCACGTTTGTTTTGACTAAATAACTGTTGAAGGTGATGCTTAAAGTTAAAAAAGTTGATATATATATATTTTAGAGTCGCCCAGCTCAGTGACAGTAGAGCGTGCATTTATAGAATTACTTTTAACAATGGATTTGCCATTTAACTTTGTAGCACTATTTGTTGACTTGCGATTGATTACACATATGTGCAATACTATTTGTTAGCCCCGAATTAAATGTGTGTATGTGTATTTGAGATGTTTAAATTTTGCTGTTTGCTCTAAGTGTGGGTAAACTGCTAAATTTGAAATCTTAATCGTTTTATTAAAATATATATCGTATATGTTGCCTACCAATGGTTCAGCGGTAAGGCTGCAGGCTTATGACAATAAAAAGTGGGTTTCGATAGCCGTGGTGGGCAGAGTAAAGATAGCCCATTACCCAGACTTGTACTTAAGAACAAACTAATGAAACCAAAATCGTATATATCAGGTTAAAATATTGTGTGTGTGTGTTTTTTAAGAATATACTAGATGAAAACTCGTGCTTCGCGTATTAAACACCTTTTGGGTGTGGTATTTTGTATTTTAAATGCACAAAGTTTGTAGAACATAAATACGGTGCTGTGTATTTAAACAGTTAAGTGACCTGCCTCGAATATTCACATAAGATGTTGGGTACGAAGAGTTCTGGCGAATCTGATGGCCATGCGTGGCGTTTCAATGACTGTGAGATTAAACCTAAGTTGGTTAAATCTATTCCACTAAACACCTCTAGTGCAAAAGACACTTTGAACCGAATAATCTGATTAAAAATAACAAACTGATCGACTTATCTAGTAACAGACACCAGATCTAGCGATCGTTTCAAAACCTGGGTCTCGAGAACAAGTATTAAAATTCAACAGGGTGATTGTACGGCACTCTAAGTCTCTATAAACAAATGAACAAGTATTAAAACTCAAAAGCGTGACTGTACGGCACTTTAAGTGTCTATAAACTAATTAACAAATATTCAAACTCAACAGGGTGACTGTAAGGCACTCTATAAACAAATAAAGAAATTCACACACAAAACCTTAATACATAAACACTGCTGTCTGAGATAGTCCCCTTAGGGATGAAAAATCCATTCCCCAAAAATATTTTTCTTTGCAATGAATAATACTATCTACGCCCACCCCTCCCTTACACACGTGGTGACGTCGTCCGTACTTCTCTACTCCCAATTTCATTTTTGCATTATATAAAGATATTTAAATAACTTCTCAAGCATGCTCACAAGTTTCGTTTTTACTTACGTAGACAATATCGATTTCTAAGTTATTAAAGAATATCGTACAGCTATGCTGTTGTCTATACCATTATTGTTTTCCAGCGGTATAATTACATATTCAAATTAGATGACAATGGGAACTAGATGCAGGTGAAAATGAACAGGACAGAAATAATAAAAAGGAATTTGAAAACCAGCATGGCTATTTCAGAAATACAATATGACGTCTTATGCACGAGGCGAGAAATTTTTGACATTATTTCTACACCAGATTTTATTTTTCAGTCTTTTTTATTTCACATTTCACAAAGTTACAATTTGGTTACATTTTATAGCTTTCAAATCCGACAATATTATTGAAAAATAATGTGAAGCAAAAACATAATTGAATCAGTGGACCTAATATTTGTGCAATAAGTTTTGTTTTATACATATTTTAAACCAACTGAAACCGACAATTTTCTTGAAAATATTCGTTTAAAATATTTAATAAATCATGCACATTATTTTGGTTTTATTTGCTGTGGAGATGTTTAAATATGTGTGAATGCATACACACACACATATATATATCGTAATTGTAAATAAACATAAGTTCAGTCTCTAATTAATACTTACATATATATAAACATATATATAGTTATGGTCCCTAAACTGTATATATGTGTTCATTGTGGTTAATGCAACTTTGAAAGGTTATAAGGATTATCAAGTGTGTACTTTTATGTATTGATGATATTTTAAATCTGAATCGAAGTGGATAAGATATGTACGAGTGTAGTGATTATTATTTGTTTGCGTTTTATTTTCTTTGTATCAACCTTAGTTGACGGACTTGGGGATTACTAACTTATCATTTGGAATATTTTCACTTTTTAAGAATTACGTTGACAAAACATGAATTTAAAAAAATGTTTACTGTTTAAAACTGTCTATAGAGTTTGTATTATATAGCATTTGCTATTCTTTCTCGCACCTTCCTTTGGTTTAGCGTTAAGCTTGAAAGCTTATAACGTTAACATTCTGGCATCGACCCCTGCCGTTTGCACAACACAGATATTCGTTTAACTATCATACGTGATGTACGTTTTCTTTGGCGGGTGGTTAATGAAAGTGTTCCAAAACGCGACATAAATATCTTGACGACCTAATATTTACTCTAACGCTAGGGCACCATAATTTCAGTATAGAGAGAAAAAGTAAGCGTATTAAGGTAATTAGAAAAGAAAAAAATATAAGGCGAAAATGATGATAAAAAAATTGAGATTATATTCATAATGTTGTCCACTAGAATGCTGTTTAAAGTGGCGCGATCCAATTCGAAAACTCATGTTCGGCACAAAACAATTAAATATCATTAAAAGTAAAAATGATACCAACTGACATTCACAAATAATTAATTGCTACAGAAAGACAAGTGGGTAGTAAAGCAAAGTTCGCACGGACAGAAAAATCGATGTAATTGTATACAATGTTTATACTGTAGAGATACAGAAACCAGCAGATTGTATCGATTTCGTGTGAATGGTCCATAATACACGAATATTAAATAATTATGTAAAACATTAATATCGGTAAATATTTTCTAGGATATCTATCAGAAGATCCTTTTGTTCATTTACTATCAAGGGGAAGGCCTCTCTTGTCTATTTATTATTAAGGACACCTATTTCATTTAGTATCAAGAGCTCTTCATGTATATTTACAATCAAGGAGCACCTTTGTAGATTTAATATCATGGGACATGAAGAGGACCCTTGCCAAAAAACGACGAAGCTTGATTTACTATCAAATGGTCCCTCTTCTTGGTTTACTATCTGAGGCCCTCTTCTTGATCCACTATCTGGAGTCCCTGTTGTCGATTTACTATCAAAGAGCCCCTTTCTAGATTTAATAGTACGGAACACGAAGGGGCTCCTTGACAAAAACTAAAAAGCATGTGCCTCATGTGTCTCATCGTGACAAAAGCACTAGTATTATTCATTTTTATGCTTGTGAAACATTTATCATTATATTTATATTTTAAAGGAGAGTGCATGGATTCTGCCACTCGGTGTATAGGAACCCTACTGACGATAATTAGAGGTACTTCTAATAGGTGTATAGGGACCCTACTGACGATAATTAGAGGTACTTCTAATAGGTGTATAGGGACCCTACTGACGATAATTAGAGGTACTTCTAATAGGTGTATAGGGACCCTACTGACGATAATTAGAGGTACTTCTGATGATAGTCAGAGCCCACTCTGATTATATATAGAAGTCCTTTCCTGTGTGTCATTAAAGGGGACCTTGACTATCATTAATATATTTTAGCTCATTTTTTGCATCAAAGTTTACTGTGGAGGGGGCTCATTCATCATTATCATTATGTAGTTTCTACAGTGAATCTGCTTGTAACATTGCTCGACAGCAACAATGTAAAAAGAAAACTGACCAAATGGTACAAATAGTCATTACATCTACTCTATAAATTATGTATTATACTAATGTATAGAGATTGTCATGTACATTTTACGTACATACGAGTCAAACGTTTAATTTTAAATACGATACAGAGACTACTATTATTATGTTACATCCAACATTTAAGTGGATACTTAAACCACGGTTTATTCAGTTTAATAACATACTTTCTATAAATTAAGGGATTTA